GTCTCTCACTGCTGTCCGTCTCTCACTGCTGTCTGGCTCTCACTGCCGTCCGGCTCTCACTGCTGTCCATCTCGGTGCACGCTCCAGGGCTCCGTTTTGGTTTCGCAAACGCAGTAACTTCTCCAGTATCCCGAGGGATCCTGGGTAGAGGCTTTCGTGGCTGTTCAAGTTTTGGCTGTTCCTCCGACCTTCTGTTACCTATTCCCTTCATGGTGTCCCTTTGGGCGTGATGAGGTCTCTGGGGCGGGGGGCACAATTCCATTCTGGTGGGTCTCTAAGCTGGAGAGGAGAGCAGAGCAGGTGGAGACACATGGATGCCCGCTCCACTCAAGATGCTGCCCTCCACCCAGCTGTGGCCCTGCCAGAGGTTGGCTCCTGGACCTCGGCCTCCGAGCAAACCTCAGCTCTGCCGAGTCCTCTGTCTCAGGTATTCGTCAGCAACGCAACGATGGACAGAGACACACATTTCTGCCTGGAGCCACCGCATGGGTAGCAGCTCCCTCAGCATCAGAAAATGGGAGGTTTGTCTTTAGAGAAGCAGTTTTTGCTCCGTCTGGGGGCAGCCTCCTACACCACCCTGGGTTTTCGGCCAGGGAGCGGCTGACCCACTGGTCCAGAGACTGGCTTTTAAATTGATCTTGGAGAGACCCGTATTCACGTCTGCCTCCACACGTGTAGTGACAGAGCTTGGACAAGCCACCGCAGCTGCCTACACCTCTGTCTTTCGCTCCAGATGGTGGGGGTGATTCCATTGCTGCCAAGTGGCCACCCCTTCTCCCTCTGGTCTGTCTACACAGCACAGCATGGCAGGGGGAGGCTCCACAGCCATCACGTTCACAAGTCAACCATCTGACCCTTGCCAGAGCTAAGGGGGCCTCCACCAGGGACCCCATAGGCGTTTATACAATGCCCATGCCTTCCTTCCATGGCCTCACCCCCTCCCAGACTCTGTTCTGGGCTTCCTCAAGGACAGACCATGTGTTTGCTGTTCCCGCCAACAGCAGTTTACCTCATTTGCATATGGCTTTTTCATTCTAATTCCCTGGGCCCAGTTGCCAGGGTAACCAACAGCCAGGCCTGTTCCCTTCCTTCCTCCTCACTGCCAGGGAGACCAGGACGTTTCTGGGCCCTGGAGCCAAAGGGCTGCAGTTTCCTCTGGGGCATATCTGCTTCTGCCCCAGGCTCACTCCATTGCTCCTGGCCGATCTGGACGGTGCAGCCCTCTGATGCAGGAACCCAGTTCACACCATGCTCCCCCGCTGGGTGCTGTCCCCTCGAAGAGACTCACACGCGTGCCAGTGCCTCTGCTGACTGCGTTGGCGCAGCCTGTCCCCTTGTGGCTCCAGCTGCTGGCACCATCAGTCTGAGATCACAAACACCTTCCACCCACCCCCTTTTTAAAGCGATTTAAAATTAGAACCTCAGAAGCGTCTCATTGAACCCTGGGCTACAGACCGTTTGATTCCTGACATGCTCAGCTGAACAAATAGGTGAACGAATGAAGGCCACCGCCGTGTCCACGCCCCTACCGCCCCTGCCCACTGCCCCTGCTGTAGAGTTCGCAGCTTCACAGTGATCCAGGGGGCTGGGGTGGGGGAGGAGGCAGGGTCAGAACTCAGAAACAGCCGAGAAGAATCCGGATCTGCAGGCAAGCCACACAACACGCTCCTCCCTGTAGCTCCCAGGCATCCGAATAGCTCGCTTTTCCTGCAGACCCGTTAGAAGAGTACGGCACTGTGGAATGAGCAGTGTGGACAGGGAAGGTGATCATTCACGGGCTACCTCGGGGTCAACCTGGCAGGCCAGTTAGGGTGACCGCACATCGTCTGCATGGCCCCGACTCTGGGCAGGTCCCGACTCTGGGGAAGGGTGAGAGGAAAGACCTATAGTACCCCATCCTTTTTTCCCTTTAAAGATAGGGCCTTCCCCATGTACAGGTCCTCCTGCCTCAGCCCTCTGAGCAGCTGGGTGCACAGGTGCGTGCCAGCACTCCTGGCTCTTCTTTAGACAGGGCCTCACCATTCGTCCAGGCCAACCTTGACCTTGACCCTCCAGCCTCAGCCTGAGCTGCCGGGTTCACAGGAACATGCCACTGCACCTGGTCTTTAGGTCAGAACAGGAGCTGAACTCAGGCCTCCCACTTGGTCCCACAGTAACTCTTCAAATGACAGATTGAATCCTGCCTTAAAAGACTGCTACCTTAGAATGGCGTATTTCAAAAAACTGTGCTCCTTAACATTATGGGGCGGGTTTGAAGAAGGAGAGGAGAAAGACAGAGAGGAAAAGAGAGGAGAGGAGAGGGGAGGGGAGAGGAGGAGAGAGAGGGGAGGAGATGGAGGGGAGGAGGAGGGGAGGAGAGGAGGGGGAAGGAAGAGAGGAGAGATGAGGAAAAAAAGAGAGAGGAGAGGAGAGATGAGGAGAGGAGGGGAGGAGAGGGGCAGGGAGGGGAGGGGAGGAGGAAAGGTAAGAAACTAAGGAAAAGAAACTCTTAATTCCAGCTCAGCTTCTTAGGAGCGTTGTGGCCTTAGCCCAGCCGTGACCCCCAGAGGTGACCCTCTCACCTCTTGCCTGCGCACACAGCAAGCCCTTCATTCTTGCTCTAAGGAGTGGTGCCCACCCCAGTGTGAAGAGTTTGGTTTTGCACAAGGACACGCTTGCTGTGTGTCTCCGGTGTTAGAGAGGCCTCCAGTTGAAATGGCTTCTCTGGAGCCTTTGCTGTTGGGAACGAATAAAACCCTTCCAGAAATATCACCCCAGGACCCCAGCCCAGTGACCGCCAATCCCAGATCACGGCAGAGAAGCCTCCGGATCCCGGGAATGCATTGATGAGGCGAGGTGGAAGAGCGCGCGCTCGGCCTGCACCGAGACGGAGACAGCATTGGCGTCTTGGTGAGCAAGAGGAAATGGCAGCAAAATTCATCCAGTAGGGATTCGGAGGACAGGACGGTTCCCACATTCCAGACTTCTATTCCACAGGACATAAGGTTTTTTCCTGTCCCGCAAAAATGAGTCAGAGATTACCAGAAAGCTTATCGGGTCGTCTGCATCTTTCCTGCCCGCTCTCTATTACACAACAGTGACTGACACCAGCCGGCGTGTCTCGGAGAGCTCTGGGTGACCTTCACGGCTGGAGGTGAGGCCAGTGTTGGGGATCGCCCCGAGGAATGGGCACCCGGGTGTGTAGAGGGGGTGCAGTGGGAGTGAGGGGAGCCGATGGCTGGAGTTGCCAGGTGGGAGCTGGCTAGTGTTGGGCAGAGTCTGTTTCCAGCAGAGACTAGAAAGGAAGACTCTCATGACTGGAGGAGGGCGGTCTTCAGGGGGATACACCCCGGACAGCACTGCGAGAAGGACAAGCGTGTCCCCTGAAATGAGGGACTCAGTGCAAGAGCAGGGCACGTCCAGGCTGCTTCTTGCCGTGAGGGCCTCCCGAGTTCCTCTGCGAACAGGAGCCGCTGCCTCCACCCTCACATGGGGGAACCGAGTTTTCCTCTGCAAACAACGTGCAGCTGGACCCGGCGGGCTCCCGGAGAACATGGGTGACGTATGAATCCCTGTACATGAATACGTCCGAGGTAGAAGCTACGGCACAGCCTGAGAGGGCCCACCTGCCTTGGCACGCACTCCCCGCGTGGAGTTGGTGAAGCTGCTCCCACCTCCCAGAGAGGTTTGCCATGAAACCACTGGGACAAGGGCCTCTCCCCTCCCTGGCAGGATCCAACTCAGTGTCTAGCAATTCTTTCAAAATCCTCCCAAAGAGCCTTCTTCACCCGCATCCATTTTCCTATCTGAAAAATGGGCCTAACCATTAGTGCCTTGCAGGGTTTTAGTGAGAATGACGCAAGATGCTGAATGTAAGACCAGGGCATGGTGCCTGGCCTGCAAGAGGAGCTCAGGAAAGGTTTACTCCAGTTCTCTGTCTTCCCTGGGGACTTACTTTTGTGGGATCTCTTCACTCTCTGTCTCTTTTTCTTTTCAAAATTTTTTGGGCCATTTTCATAGTGCAGCAGTTAAGCCCCGTACATAGGGTATTGGTTCCTCATGGTCCACCATGGCTCCAGTACTGGCCCTGGCAGTTCGAAAAATATGCTGGAAGCACGTGCATGCACACCCCAAATCCTGGTGATAGGGAAAGGTAGGAAGAGGATTGCAGGGCTCACACCTCAGTGGGGATTAGGTGTTTTTCTCCCTGTCTCTGCTTCTGTCTCTGTCTCTGGTTGAGTGTGAGTATCCCTCAACACACACACACACACACACACACACACACACACACACACACGGCCAGCTTGTGGCAGAGAGGTTAAAGAAGCTGGATCTCACGTGACTGACTTCATGGTTCGAGTCTCATGTCAGCTAGTTAGAAAATCACACTGGGCGCATGTGCATGGGTGCCCAGAATCCCGACAGGAGACGAGGAGAAGGGATTGCAGGTGGCCACGTTTCCCCTGGGGGTCGGGATGAGTTCGCACTTTCTCCTGCTCTCTAGAGAACGCACATTCCCTATAGCAAAAATTAGAAAGAAAAAAGAAAGAAAGAAAAAGAAAAGGAATCACCTGAAGATGAGCGTTGTGAAACGTCCGTCCTGTGGAAGCTGCCCCGGGCCACGGTCTGCACTCTCTTCCTCTCAGCAGCCCGTGACAGGGCCTCAGCCTGTGCTCACTGTTCCTCCCACCAGAGCTGGCGCTGAGGCTGACTGGCTCCCAGAGCAGCCCTCCCTCCTGCAGAGCAGGCCTCCAGCCCCGCCCCGCCGCAAATGAGGCCTTTAGTCAGCAGCTGCCACTGCCAGCGTGAGCGTGTTTTATTTTACCTCCGGCCTCCAGGCATTCACGCCACTTCCCTGCGGTGAGTGGGACTCCGTGAGCACCTGCGATTCCTTGCTGACCTCTGGGCGAGGCGGTCCTGTGAGCACACAGGCATGGAGGAAGAAAAACAGGAGCCACCTCTTCCCCAGCAAGGAGGACAGCAGGGGCACTGCTGCCTGACCAGTCCCCGCTCTGCTGGACCTTGGCTGCCGCTGGAGGGGCACAGGGCAAGGCTTTGGTGGCCAGGACCTCGCACCATCGCCGTTGTCTCCCCAGGGCAGGGCCCTGGAAACCAGAGCAGCACCGCGTGCTGGGCGTGGACAGAGGCCAGGCCAGCTGTTGGCTGGTGCCTGCCAGGGCCTGGTGGTGCTGGTGCCTGACTGCAAGGACCTTGTGGGCCGCTTCCCAAGCTGGAGGTGACCGCGGCCAGCCTGAGGCAGGGCAGGTACATAGTTTCCTTGGCGCATGGTTCTGGCGCAAGCACCGTGGTGACAAGGGCTCAGGCGCGGAGCTGGACGTCTGGATGCAAGCCCGTTCTGCCACCCACAGGCTGTGACACGGGCAGTGGCAGAGCCTCTCCGAGACTGACATGAGCGCAAGGTCGCTTGTGAGTTCAGGTGCCTCCCGTGCTCCCTCCGTCAGCAACAGTGAGGAGCAGTGCCTTCGGCTCTGACTACGGAAGTCCAGACCCCTTCCTGCCTTCTCAGCTCCACCTTCACTCCTCCGTGGTTGGGGCAAGGACCCTGTCCCGTCCTCAAGACCGCCCCTGGCTGGCCTCCTGCAGAGTCCAATGGGCTGACTGGACATTCTGTCCATCTGGCTTCTGCTGGGCGCCTGGCACCAATGGCGGTGATGCCAACAGAGCTAGGTAACAGGGAGTGAGCGTGTCCCACGTGACTACAGCAAGCCTGTGAAGGCTGGTGGGGCCCAGCGTCCAGCTGCCTTGTTCGAACTCTTGTTCAAACTCTTGTTTGCCTCTGGGATAAAAGGCTCCATTTCCAGTAGTTTCAGAGGAATCGTCAGACACAAGCAAGGTGAGGTGAACGCCCAACAGAACCAGCAATAAAGAAACTGTACGGGGTTAGACAGTGGAGCGGTGATAGCAGACTGGACCCGCAGGGGAACGGCCCAAGTTCACGACCCAAGGTCTCCCTCTACGTGCCAGGCATGCATGTGTGTGTGATCTGGGCTTTCTGGGCTGGAGGTGGATCGCAGCATGAGAACCTTGTTGGATACTCAATAGTTTCGTTTATTTTAACAGTAGGGTTTTCCATATACACTCTCTATCATGTTATTTTTACTTTATTGTTTTAAAGGATTATGTATTTGGGAACCAGCAGTTAGTGTAATGGCTATGTCGCTGGACTCCCACGTAGTCGACCGCGGTTCGCGTCTCGGACCCGGTGGCTTAAATCTCACGCCGGGCGCGTGTGCGTGCGTGCCCAAGATCCCGAGAGGAGAATGGAGGAGAAGGGATTGCGGCGTGACCATCCCCTCTGGGGGGTGATTTCTTGCTTTCTGTCTCTCTGTCTCTCTCTGTCTGTCTGGCGAGCGCACGCGCCCTATATTGAAAACCTCTCCAAAAAATAAAAAAATTAAAAAAAAAGGATTATGTATTTCATTTCATTCATTCATTCATTTATTTTTAATTTGACCAAAGAGAGAGAGAGAGAGAGAGAGAAAGTGAGAAAGCAAGCTACCAGGTCTGGGACTCGATCCATGGTCAGCCATGTGGGAGTGTCCAGCGCCTCAATCACCATGCCACCTGCTGATTCCATTATTTTTATTCTTAATTGGTCTTTAAAGACCAGTGATGATTAAGAACCATCAATACGGTTGAATTTTATCAAAGGCTTTCTTTTTTGCTTCAGTGGACATGTTAACATGGTCTTTCTCCTTAGTTCTGTTATTCTGGTAAACTACGTTGATTGTTTTTTCAACTGTCGAGGCAATCTTGCGCTGCTGAAATAGACTGTACTGAACATAGGCATTACACTTTTAATATATCTCAGAATTTTCTTTTACTTTTTAATTGCCAGAGAGCATGTGCGCTTGCCAGGGAGTGAGAGAGAGAACCTCCCCAGCTCTTGTTACATTTAAAGCATCATTAGGCTTTGTAGTAATGGCCTCTTTCTATTTCTGATACTGGGTTTTAAAATTGAATCTTCTTCTGTTTTTTTGTTTTTTGGTTTTTGTTTTCCTGTTCCTTTGATCAGTCTTTTCAAGTTTGCTTATTTATTTCTTCCATAAGAGACAGAGAGAAACATCCCCAACGGGGTCTTTCACACTGCAACCCACCAACACGTGCCGCTGGCACCGGCAGGGCGACCTCAGAATGCAAACCCAGGACCTTCCCGTGTGGCCTCAGCACCACAGGGTATGGTGCTACTGCTGTGGCCATGGATGACCCATTCACTTGATCAGTCTTGGGGGAGATTATCAATTTTATTTTCCCCTGTAGGTTGCATGTGCTCGCCAGAGAGAGAAAGAGAGGGAAAGTGAGAAATCATCCCCTAGGAGGATGGCCACGCCACAATCCCTTCTCCTCCATTCTCCTCTCAGGATTTTCGGCATGTACACACATGTACTTGGCATGTTTTTCAAGCCACTGGGTCCCGGACTTGAACTGTGAAGTCGGCCATGTGGGATCCAGCCCCTTCATCTCCATGCCACCTACTGGCCGGGACTATCGGTTTTATTAATCTCCCCAGACACTTCCCCTGGCATTGTGCCTTTTCTCTACTGCACATCTGACCTCTCCTCGTTCGGTTTCTACTCTGGCTTTGATTACACTCTTCCCTCCGCCTCCTGCAGGGTAGCTAACTGGGCGTTTTCCAGTTTCATGAGAAACGATGCTCATCATTGAGTTCTTCTATCCTAACATGGGCATTTCATGCTAAACATGCCGCTCAACACTTCCTTAACGACTTCCCACAAGTTTCAATGCGTTTATTGTCATTCGCATCCAGTTCAAAGTATATTCTAGTGGCCACTGTGATTTCTTCTCTGACCCCCGGGTGATTCAGAAACATGTTGCTTAATTTCCAAACTCGTGGGGACTCTTTATCTTTCTGTTATTCGTTTCTTGTTTAATTGCACTGTGGTCAGAGTGCACACTCTCGTGGGCTCCTATCCCTTCCGAACCTGCTGAGGCAAGCCGGAGGACCCAGCAGAGGCCTATTTTGGTAACTGCTTCTTGGCTCCATTTTTCCCTCTGCAGCCCTGGAGCCATTGTCATCCCGCAGCTCAGCGTTGACTCCCTTACTGTTGCTTTTGATGGCTCGCATTTCCACACACACACCTAGGATTTACCCTGTCCGGTTCTTAGTCCTTGCTGTGGTTCAGTGCCTGCACCGGGGTCCCTTTCCTTCAGCCCGGAGAGGTTGCACAGGGGTCTCTGGGAGTGAGGGTCTGCTGGTAACAAATTCTCTTAAACTTGTTGGAAGACTCTTTGTTCTTCATTGCCAGAATGTGTGCACCCTTGCCAGAGAGACAGAGAGAGCGGGAGAGAGAGAAAGCACCCCCCAATGGGGCCTAGTCACCCCACAATCCTGTCGCCATTTCTCCCTCCTGTTGGGACTTGGGCACAGCAGCTGGTGTGTTTTTCAAGCTGATCGGCTGGGATTTAAACCACAGTGTTGGCTATGTGGAATCTGCAACCACAAGGCCTTGGGAGACATTTTTGTTTAATCTTCATTTCTGAAAAATATGCCCTTCACAAAGGTCACCAGGGTCCATTTGTGTTTTTTCTTCAGCAACCTAAAGTGTCCTCCCATAGTCTCCAGGATTCTAACCATGCGAATTGCTTTGCTCGTGTGAGCATCACCCCCTGGGCCAGGCCTTCTTCCGTGTCGTTCCAATCCAGATAGACGCGCCGCCCAGACAAGCACATCGCAGCTTCTGGGCCTTTGTGCTCATCCTTTAAAACAGCTGCTCTTCCCTCCTGCAGGGGCATGAGGTTAAGGTGTCTGGATTTATGTGGCCAGAATTCCATGGTTGGCATTCAGACCTGAAGGCTTAAAAAACACCCTGGGTCAATCTGCATGTGTGCCCAAAAATCTCTAGAGGAGACTGGAGGAGAAGGGATTGTGGCGTGGCCATCCCCCTGGGGGAGTGACTCACCGTCCCTCCTTCCCTGTCTCTGTCCGATGAGTATACGCACCCTATAGCAAAACTAAAAAACAAACAAAAAATACCAAAAAAAACACCCAAAAATCCATTCTTCCCATCCCCTCTGTCAGCTCCGTGTCCTGAGGAGCAGAGGGGAAGAGGCCACACGCTCTCCAGACACTGTCTCGGTGTTTTCCGGAAGGGCCCTAGAAGTTAAGAATGGCCTCCCCCCAGGTTGTGAGCCTCCTGAGCAGCAATGCAAGGGAGAGGAGACGCAGAGCTGAGACCTCGCCCACCCCTCGCCACGGACGGGGCCGGACCGTGTCTAGGCATGGGTGGGTGTCTGGGACCAAGACGGTGCTCTCATTTTCCCCGCACGTTTTCTCCTGCAGACATTACAGTGTTACAGCCAATAATGCCCGCCTGGCAGACACGAGACCAAAACGCTAAGGACGAAGCACGGCCTTACCACACCAGGGCAGGGCTCAAATCCGAGCCAGCGGAGTGGGTGTCCTGTTCCCATCCACACCGCACTCCCCACGGACCAGGCTAACTAGACAGAGCCGAAGAGATTATGTATTCGTGTCTGTGAAACAGCAGCACCAAGCCACCCCTCCCTTGCTCCTAAGGCTTCAGCGATGCCAGCCTCTTGTTCCAGCCTTGCCGGGCCGGCCATCAGTACCTGAGTGCCCCCTGCTCTTCACCCGCCAGCTC